AAATAATAAAAGTTTTAATTATGAAAAAGAAAATACAAGGAAAGCAAAAGATACTGGTCAAAATGTACAGGAAAAAGATTATGTATATTGTTCCCATAACAACCAAGGCAAAGATGACCATACAAAAAATCTATTTAGATAATCAATTACTAATGAACTTATTTCTTCTCCAGATTACTATTACAGCGATCCTTGTGCTATGATATTAATTCGTTTCAGAAGACAAAGTGGCTGCCACTCTCCAACTCACTGCTGGTAACCTTTACCTCCTTACCAGATCAAACCACCGCCCACTCACTCCCAAGCCCATCTAGGCGAAGTTTCAGTCTCCTATTTTCCTACTGAAGAAGTAGAACCTCCTTCTTCAACACTTTAGCCTGAGATTCTAAAACACGTAAAAGACGTACAGTACGTCAAAGCTATTATAATTTGAACCCTAAAATACATGGTTTGATGGTAATTCTGTCTAAAAGTGGCCAAATTACTACCTTCTATACTTATAGGGTAATTCTAACAATGAAATAAGAAGTTTATTCTGCTCAATCAGTAAAACAGAAGGCAAATTAGCAAAAGGTACGAGCAAAGAAACTAGCCTATTGTTGGCCTCAAAGTGGGTGAAATAGCAATTGCATAGTGTTCCCGACATCCCATTTTGCACCTACATAATTCTTTAAGTTTTTCATCAAATGTTATAGTTTTTGGTGTCATCACCTTTAAAAAAAAGATTCTCTAGCATTTTAGAAGATAATTTTTTTTTATTGTGACACTGACTGCACTTTAATTTTCACGGGTTGCAATAGTGAAAGGTTCAACTGCATACACTGCTGCTTCCCTCTACTACATACTTTATCAAACTCACTAAACTTAATGATATCCCTGAAATTAATGAGAAACTGAAATTCAGAATCTACACTGCAACAGCAAAAAATAATTTCTCAAAAGAAATGAAACACTGCACCTGTCAACTCAGGTGTAATGACCTTCTGTAAAGACATTCAGTGTCACTCCCTTCATAGTGTCTTCCATATTCAGTGGCACTCATTCTTTCACAGCGTCTCCCATATTCAGCAGCACTCGTTCTTTCATAATGACTTCCATATTTAGTGACACCATTCTTTCATAATGTCTTCCATGCATATTCAGTGGCATCCATTCTTTCATAATGCATTCCATATTCAGTAGTGTTGAAAATGATATAAAATACAAACAAGTATCTACTAGTTATAAGTGAGAAGCGTAGAATTAGAGAGGGACTTGCCTTACTTCTACTAGTGAATCCCATCTCACCTTCGACAGTATTTAAAACCCCGTTCTCATTCTTCAGCTTCATGTCGTTCCATATCATGGAGCTGAACTATTTTCCAGGCTGAGGGACTGACCACTTCAAATATTTTTTCTCCAAGGTTGATGGACTGATTACATCATCCTTATTTCACTACTACTGCTTCCTCTGTATTTGACTGAAGAAGCCTACTGTGTAGGTGAAATGTTTCATCAAAATAGATACCCAACTGCTGTATATGTGCCTTAATCTTTATATTCAGTTGCAGTGTGAACCACCAGTCCCACCAGTTACATAAAAAAAGGTATAAGAAAACATGTTCAGTGAAAAGACCTTATACAGCCAGTTTAGGCACCTATAATGGTAAGTACTGGTGAACTATGAACAAAAACTACGAACCTTGCAATGACAGGAAGATGACCATCATCAATGAAGGGCAGAATATAAACAAGATGAACAGTCATTAACAGAGATACGTTGCTTCCCCACAAGTCCATTGCACTCATCAAGTACTTGGTCAGAGTTTCCAGAGTTTCTTTAGTGGGATTCTGGTTTGAGTGGTTGCACACTGTAGCCAAGCTTAAAGCACATCTGTGATGTTTAAGAGCTGCTTGACTGAACTTTTGTATAACTAGCTGCACCTGAAATTAATATTTTTTGCATTCAGCTTAATAAATCACAAATAATTAATGTGCGACAAAAATGTTTTCAAATTTAAATATGTTATTACATGGAATTCAAGATTCATAATTGCAAAAATGACTCCTATATCCACTAGTGAAAAGCTTTAGATTAAAAGCCTAAAAAAGAAACCGCTAACTGTACATACAGTACTGTATTTGTGTCACTGCTCATTATTATAGAGTAAACCCTCTCAAGACGCAAGGGTTAGTGCCTGATATCCAGTGCCTTATGAAAACAGCTTTATGTGAAATACAAAACATATACATGTACAAATACAAATTTTTATTTCCTTATATGATAAAAGAGGAGGCAGTTAGGGAAAGATATAAACAGCTATTGGAGGATAGATGGGCTAATGAGAGCATAGGCAATGGGGTCAAAGAGGTATGGGGTAGGTTTAAAAATGTAGTGTTAGAGTGTTCAGCAGAAGTTTGTGGTTACAGGAAAGTGGGTGCGGGAGGGAAGAGGAGCGATTGGTGGAATGATGATGTAAAGAGAGTAGTAAGGGAGAAAAAGTTAGCATATGAGAAGTTTTTACAAAGTAGAAGTGATGCAAGGAGGGAAGATATATGGAGAAAAAGAGAGAGGTTAAGAGAGTGGTGAAGCAATGTAAAAAGAGAGCAAATGAGAGAGTGGGTGAGATGTTATCAACAAATTTTGTTGAAAATAAGAAAAAGTTTGGAGTGAGATTAACAAGTTAAGGAAGCCTAGAGAACAAATGGATTTGTCAGTTAAAAATTGGAGAGGAGAGTTATTAAATGGAGAGTTAGAGGTATTGGAAGATGGAAGGAATATTTTGAGGAATTGTTAAATGTTGATGAAGATAGGGAAGCTGTGATTTCGTGTATAGGGCAAGGAGAAATAACATCTTGTAGGAGTGAGGAAGAGCCAGTTGTGAGTGTGGGGGAAGTTCGTGAGGCAGTAGGTAAAATGAAAGGGGGTAAGGCAGCCGGGATTGATGGGATAAAGATAGAAATGTTAAAAGATAGGTGGGGATATAGTTTTGGAGTGGTTGGTGCAATTATTTAATAAATGTATGAAGAGGGTAAGGTACCTAGGGATTGGCAGAGAGCATGCATAGTTCCTATGTATAAAGGCAAAGGGGACAAAAGAAAGTGCAAAAATTATAGGGGGATAAGTCTGTTGAGTATACCTGGTAAAGTGTATGGTAGAGTTATTATTGAAAGAATTAAAAGTAAGACTGAGAATAGGATAGCAGATGAATAAGGAGGCTTTAGGAAAGGTAGGGGGAGTGTGGACCAGGTGTTTACAGTGAAACATATAAGTGAACAGTATTTAGATAAGGCTAAAGAGGTCTTTGTGGCATTTATGGATTTGGAAAAGGCGTATGACAGGGTGGATAGGGGGGCAATGTGGCAGATGTTGCAGGTGTATGGTGTAGGGGGTAGGTTACTGAAAGCAGTGAAGAGTTTTTACGAGGATAGTGAGGCTCAAGTTAGAGTACATAGGAAAGAGGGAAAATTATTTCCAGTAAAAGTAGGCCTTAGACAGGGATGTGTGATGTCACCATGGTTGTTTAATATATTTATAGATGGGGTTGTAAGAGAAGTAAATGCGATGGGTCTTGACAAGAGGCGTGGAGTTAAAAGATAAGGAATCACACATAAAGTGGGAGTTGTCACAGTTGCTCTTTGCTGATGACACTGTGCTCTTGGGAGATTCTGAAGAGAAGTTGCAGAGATTGGTGGATGAATTTGGTAGGGTGTGCAAAGAAGAAAATTAAAAGTGAACACAGGAAAGAGTAAGGTTATGAGGATAACAAAAATATTAGGTGATGAAAGATTGGATATCAGATTGGAGGGAGAGAGTATGGAGAAGGTGAATGTATTCAGATATTTGGGAGTGGACGTGTCAGCGGATGGGTCTATGAAGGATGAGGTGAATCATAGAATTGATGAGGGAAAAGGGTGGAGTGGTGCACTTAGGAGTCTGTGGAGACAAAGAACTTTGTCCTTGGAGGCAAAGAGGGGAATGTATGAGAGCATAGTTTTACCAACACTCTTATATGGGTGTGAAGCATGGGTGATGAATGTTGTAGCAAGGAGAAGGCTGGAGGCAGTGGAGATGTTATGTCTGAGGGCAATGTGTGGTGTGAATATAATGCAGAAAATTCGTAGTTTGGAAGTTAGGAGGAGGTGCGGGATTACCAAAACTGTTGTCCAGAGGGCTGAGGAAGGGTTGTTGAGGTGGTTCGGACATGTAGAGAGAATGGAGCGAAACAGAATGACTTCAAGAGTGTATCAGTCTGTAGTGGAAGGAAGGCGGGGTAGGGGTCGGCCTAGGAAAGATTGGAGGAAGGGGGTAAAGGAGGTTGTGTGCGAGGGGCTTGGACTTCCAGCAGGCGTGCGTGAGCGTGTTTGATAGGAATGAATGGAGACGAATGGTTTTTAATACTTGACGTGCTGTTGGAGTGTGAGCAAAGTAACATTTATGAAGGGGTTCAGGGAAACCGGCAGGCTGGACTTGAGTCCTGGAGATGGGAAGTACAGTGCCTGCACTCTGAAGGAGGGGTGTTAATGTTGCATTTTAAAAACTGTAGTGTAAAGCACCCTTCTGGCAAGACAGTGATGGAGTGAATGATGGTGAAAGTTTTTCTTTTTCGGGTCACCCTGCCTTGGTGGGAATCGGCCAGTGTGATAATAATAATAAAATGATAAAAAATAATGTAGTTTACATGTAAGAAAACACTGGAAGGCACAAAAGAAAGCCACTAGTATGCAATGAAATTTTGGGAAAATAGGGCTAGATTCCCAGACCAAATTTGCCAAATAACTTATTTAATTCAACTAGCACATATAATACAATGTATCTTGCTTTATATTATATTCAGTCACTGAGTGTTAACACTGAAATGTATGAAGAGGGTTGGTGTGGCCTACTGGGCTGAGGTGGATGATGGCTCTTGTGTTGATGTGAATACTGTGTCAGTGGGTGTACTGGAGTGCTCAAGTACAGTGGACCCCCGGTTTACGATATTATTTCATTCCAGAAGTATGTTCATGTGCCATTACTGAACGAATTTATTCCCATAAGGAATATTGTGAATTAGATTAGTCCATTTCAGACCCCCAAACATACACGTACAAACGCACTTACATAAATACACTTACATAATTGGTCGCATTGGGAGCTGATCGTAAACCGGGGGTCCACTGTATTCTGTAATGTGTTGGTGGTTTACTATACTCTGCAGTATAGTAGACCACCACCTTTCATGCCTCCAGTTGCTGAATTTTGGCCTGTTTGCGATTTATTTTTTTTTATTTATTTCCTACTTTCACTCCAAAGGTTCCCTGCCTTTTGCAGCGACTTTTTTTCCAGTTACAATACTTGAATTATAAAAAAAAAAAAATATTCTTGGTTAGTTTTTACCAAACACATTCATACTGTCATTATGCTTATTTTTTGCATGTATTGAGAACTCCTGTGACAAAGTGCTTCTGAAAGATTCTGAAGTTCAAAGGTTGGTAGATGAATTTAAGAGAACATGTAAAAGAAGGAAATTAAAAACAAACATAGGAAAGAGCAAAGTGATAAGAGTAGCAAAAAATTTAAGTAATGAAGGATTGGATATCAGACTGGAAGGAGGGAGTATGGAGAAAGTGAATGTGTTCAGATATTTGGGAGCGGACTTCAGCAAATGGGTCAATGAAAGATGAGTCAACCATAGAACTGAAGTGTAAAAAAAAAAGTGAGCAGTGCTTTGAGGCATTTGTGGAGACAAAGAACCTCATCAATAGAGGCAAAAAGGGAATTTACCAGAGTATAAGGGTACAAACACTCATACAGATGTGAAGTATGGGTTGTAAATGTTGCAGCAAGGATGCTGGAGGCTGTCTGAGGGCAATGTGTGGTGTGAATATTATGCAGAGAATTCATAGTTTAGAGATTAGAAAGAGGTGGGGGATTACTAAAAATACTGTTCAGAAGGCTGAAGAGGGGTTACTGAGGTGGTTTGGACATTTAGAGAGGTTGGAGAAAATAGGATGACCTGGAGGGTGTATAAATCATAGTGGAAGGAAGGACAGGTAAGGGTAGTCTTAGTAAAGGTTGGATGGAGGGGTTAAAGGTTTTGTATGTGAGGGGCTTGGACATCCAGCAGGCATTCACGAATGTGTCAGAGTGGAGGAAATTGGCTTTTTATGACACTGTGCTGATGGAATGTAAGCAAGGTAATATTTATGAAGGAATAAAGGAAACTGGTTAGTCAGACTTGAGTCCTGAATCAAATCAAATCAAATCAAATCAAATAAAGTTTATTGTCTATAAGGGTTACAATGTGGGGTTTACAGGTTTTAGGTATTCTGTGGTTTACATGTTATAACATACTAATTACAGAGAGGGGGCCACTAGGACACCTAGCATGGCTAGGCATTTCGGCAGACTTAGATTAATTCTTAACATTAAATCCTTACAGATTATGGTATTAAGGCTAAGTGACTACATTATAATTTGTGAGTTTAGCAATGTGAATGCTTTTGTTTTGGCACAATACAAAGTGTCTATATTGGAGTATCAGAGGCAAACTTATGACTAGTTAGGATTCATTATTTTAAGATTAGGATTAGTATTTCTGTGTTTATAGTCAGTGGGTGAGTGAGTGTAATTGTGAACCACCAGGTGGTTATCATGTAGTTAGTTGTCGGGGTGTATACAGGGAGATAAGATGTTTTCTAACTGTAGGGTGTTCCAGATTTTAGGTCTTTTGAAATACACTGAATTTTTGTAAAGGTTTAGTTGGACACGGGGAATGTCACAGAGATGTTTGTGTCTGGTGTTGTGCCTGTGGATCCTGTCACAGCTATCAAGAAAGCATTTTAGGTCAAGGTTAATATTGGAATTTAAGTCCTGTAAGGTCCTGAAGGTGGGAAGTACAGTGCCTACACTTTGAAGGAGGGCTGGGGATACTGCAGTTTGGAGGGGCATCTAAGCAGTA